CCACGCTAGTAGTAACAGGTGCCTTACTGGTAGTAACAAAGAAGCTATTAATTACTTTTTAAATTAGGAAGGGCATCGCTATTAGGAACAAGTGCCTTACTAGCAGTAACAAGAAGCTATTCATTAGAATTCTAATTAATTACTTTTTAAATTAATAGCTCTTTGTTACTACTAGTAAGGCACTTGTTCCTAATAGCTTCTTTGTTACTACTAGTAAGGCACTTGTTCCTAATAGCTTCTTTGTTACTACTAGTAAGGCACTTGTTCCTAATAGCTTCTTTGTTACTACTAGTAAGGCACCTGTTACTACTAGCGTGGCACCTGTTACTACTAGTGGCCGACGGCAATCCGACACGGAATCCGTGCACCACGCTGCGTGAGGTCGTGGAGCGCAAGCCCCGCTGTCGCTCCATTGCCAATTTCCCGGGCTTCGAGCCCGCCAGAGATCGGTGCGCCCAAAAAATGAGAAAAACATGCAGAAAACGAAAAGAGATGTTAAAGAGAAGCATCCTACTCCCAACAAGTAGAGTCTAATGCTGAATCCTCCTCAAAGTCCAGGAAGCATTTTGACCATGCAAAAGGGTTTCTCCTGAAGCTTCTCCTGCCCAACTGGAAAAGTGTCGAAGAATTGTGTCCTGGTATCCAGTAGTTTCCTGTCACTACTTACTACACACAGCGGCGCACGGCTTTGTTTAAATTTCTTAATTTCAATCCGCTTGGGCGAAGGAATTATTTCGACTGGCGTCCGCCCACGAGTGGCTCGACGTGCCTTGGAAAAAGTCGAAAGGACCTGTCACTTGCTCCACTGGGCCAAACAAGAAGCCACTTACTAGGAACAAGTGCATCGCTACAAATAGCTTTTTGCTACTAGTAATGCCCTTGTTACTAGTAGCGATTCACTTGTTACTAGTAGCGACGTGCTGTATGAACACTTTTAATAGCAATGGCCTCCAAGCATAATAGCGATGGCCTCCAACCTGTTTCATAAAAGGTTTCAATAGGCCAAAAGAAGTGTGTCAGACTGTCTTGGTAGAAAAGTGCTCGAGCCAAGGACATCCCAGAAGTCACGGTCCTCCTCAGTGGTTCCTGACAAAGTTGGACAGGCCCGTCGAATGGACAGAAAGGTGGACACAGCAGTTTCAAAGAGTGCGTTTCCTCTTTGTTTGCCCGCTCCTATTTGATGAAGTAGGCGCCTACTTATGATTAAGTAGGCGCCTACTTATGATTAAGTAAGGAGGTAAGCTACTAGGCTGAGTTAGCTTCTAGGCAGGACGCAGGATAGCTCACACTTCTTCAGGGAAGCGCTCGCATTAATGATGTGGTTCCTATTTTTTTAGGGAAACTGCTAGGACAGCAGTTGCAAAGATGTTCCACAAGTTTCAACTGCGCTCATGTTGTTCGCTTGATTTGCTTATGGGTGTTTGTGTTCCTTCGTGTGGTCAGTGTCGCAGAGCTCAAGTCTCTCAATTGTTGATGCCATTCTGTCCTTGCTCCTAGTAGCTTCTTGCTACTAGTAGTACTGGCCTCCAACCTAGTAGCGATGGCCTCCAAGCCTTGAGGTTCCCTAAAGATCTAGGAACCAAATCATTAGTGCGAGCGCTTCTCCAAGGAAGCTTCCCCCGCTGCCTTTAGGGCCGCGGGGGGAGCTTCCTTGGAGAAGCGCGAGCTATACTGCGTCCTAAGTAGTAACGACTTACAGCTACTATTTACCTAGCTACCGAGCTACTAGCTACCTAGCTACCGAGCTACTAGCAACCTAGCTACTAGCTACCTTTAGCTTCTACCTGTACGGCCTAGCCCCGCTTAGGAAAAAACATTGTCCTGAAACTAAGAGCGCCACATAGCCGCAACGCTCGAAGCAAATCTGCCAACCGTTTGGGACAGAAATGGCGCCAAGTGCAGAAGAACTCGGCATGAGTCGAGTCGAGTGAGTCGAGTCGAGTGAGTCGAGTCGTTTGACGAACATGGAGGCTTAATAAATGCCGATGTTTTTATTTGTTCCTTTAGACCTTTAAAGACCTTTTTTCGATTTAGGAGCAAAGGGCATCGCTACTAGGAGCAAGGACGCTACTAATAGATTCCTTCCTTATTTTCCTGGAGATTCTTCGCTCACTTGGCTCTCAGGCGCAGCTTTATACGCTTCCAAGGAGCAGGTGCAGTTGCACGTTTGCAAATAGGACGAGTATGGACAAGTTCCTGAATTACTTTCGTGGAGTGTTCATAAACTTCATTGTATTCATTTGTTTTTCACATCCCATTAGTGCTTTCGTTCTTGAGCGGAGGCCTACAACGGGCCAGCATTTCTGACATGTCGGGAGTCTTTGATGCTCCTTGTTCATCTTTGTTCCGTTGCGAGCATTCGGGGTTGTAAAACAGTAGATCGTTCACAGGTTACCTGTGGATCTGACCCAAGAGGACTGGCTGGAACATGTTAAAGCATCGAAGAATGCTCAGAGAAGCATGTATATCATAGGCCTCCAATCTACTAGCAATGGCCTCCAACCTAGAAGGATGTAAATCATAATCACATAATTGATTGTGTTTACCCGGCGTTTGTCTTCTGGGTCGAAGTTGTTGAAGTTGCTCCAATGTCGCTTTTCCCAAGCTGGTGACTCACGCAAATTGTGAATGGCTTCAGTAGCTTCTTGTTCCTAGTAGCGATGCCCTTTGCTCCTAGTAGCTTCTTGTTCCTAGCGTCTAACAGGTTGTCAATCGGTTCGCTTTCCAAAGCTCCAGCTTGTACCGAAGGGAGCAGCGAGGCTTTGTGCTGCAGAGCAATTCCGCGTTGGTCGGGCGCCGCACCTCACCTCTGGGGCCATTCGCACTGGTGAATTCGACCCCATGAGTGTTCGGGGGCGGTTGAGATCTCGCTGAGAAGAGCAAAAAAAGGAAGGTAGGAACAAGTGCCACGCTAGTAGTAACAGGTGCCTTACTAGTAGTAACAAATTGCTATTAGGTTGGAGGCCATCGCTCTTAGGTTGGGTTTGAGGCCATTGCTATCAGGTTGGAGGCCATTGTTATTAGGTTGAAGGCCATCGCTATTGGGTTGGAAGCCATCGCTATGGAGTTGGAGGCGATTGCTATTAGGTCGGAGGCCAGTGCTATTAGGTTGTTGGCCATCGCTATTGGGTTGGAGGCCATTGCTATTAGGTTGGAGGCCATCGCTATTAGGTTGGAGGCCATCGCTACTAGGTTGTTGGCCATCGCTATTAGGTTGTTGGCCGTCGCTATTAGATTGGAGGCCATTGCTATTAGGTTGGCGGCCATCGCTACTAGGTTGGAGGCCATTGCTATTAGGTTGGAGGCCATCGCTATTGCTATTGGGTTGGAAGCCATCGCTTTTGGGTTGGAGGCCATCGCTACTAGGTTGGAGGCCACCGCTATTTGGTTTGAGGCCATCGCTACTAGGTTGGAGGCCATTGCTATACTTGGCTGTGGGTAGCTCTCACAAGTGCCATGCTGTCATCAGACTTCAGCCATTCGGAAGTTCAAGGGGCGGTTTTAGGTGTTGATTCCTGGTTTCTCAATCCAGTCGGCACCATGATCGGAACTCAAGCTCAGGCGCAGCTGAGGGAAGTGGGAGAGGAAGCGGGAAAGAAGTTTTTGAAATTGCTTCTGAAATTTGTTGACAGCTTTTGAAATTTGAAATTGAGTCCAAAATGCGAGGGGAAACGCTGATGTTGTTCACCACCCGCTCGGGGAGAGCTGGCTTGTATCGTTTCAGGACTGGCCGACAGTGCACCAGCGGTTCCCTCAGAAGCAAAGCAAAGAGCAAGGCTATAAAGGCATTTGGCTGTTTGTTTCAACGGAGACACGAGAAAGAGCACTCGAAAAGACAGATGCAAACATATAAGTGACGAAAACACGAGTGAAGCACACTTGAAACACTTGCACAAAGGTCACAAAGTTGCACAGGTTCTTGTTTCAAACGCTGGAAAGGCACAACCGAACGAATGAACGAACAAACAAACACATTGTGTCTTTGCAATGCCTTTTGAGGTCTGCCGAGATGCAAGCATTGCGGGATTACGTCACAGCTGCAGATGGCTACAGATATGCCAACCAGGCTAGACGAGAGTCAAGATGTCGGCTTTGGGGCCATTTCACGAAAGCTAGCGAAGCTAGCTGGAGTCCCCCCTCTCCCTCTCCCCACCTCCCCTCTCCCCACCTCCCCTTCTCCTCCTCCTTGTCTTCCTCCCTCCCTCCCTCCTCCCTCTTCGCAAGTTCGACTCCGTCCTGTCGTCGCTCTTTGGCATGCGGTTAGCGTTGCGTATCTTGCGGCCGCACTCGCTCACTTTCACTCTCACTCTCACTCTCACTCTCACTCTCACTCTCACTCTCCCTGTCTCTCTCTCTCTCTCATCTCTCTCATCTCTCTCATCTCTCTCTCATCTCTCTCATCTCTCCCTCATCTCTTTCTCATCTCTCTCTCATCTCTCTCTCCTCTCTCTCTCCTCTCTCTCTCTCTCTCTCCT